TTTATATATATAAATTTATTATATTATAATGTTATAATTTAATAAAGAAAAAAATTAAGTGTTCAAAAATTGATAACTATTCAATTCTAATGTTTAAATAAAATAAAAGTTTTAAAGTACGATTTATTATATCTTTTAATTGCGCTTATGATATTTAATCTCTCAGGAAACCAACTAAATTATTAAAGAAAGAGCCATAAAAAAAATATTAAAAAATAGATCAAGTTTTGTAATAATCTATAGAGTTCAATGATAATATCGTTGTAAATTCAAACAGCAATATACTTGGCTCTTTCAAATTTCCCGCGGAAACCGAGGTCTAAATCAATACTTTGTAGTGCCGACAAGTGCCAACCACACGCAAAATTCAATACAAACTAGCGTTTTTAGAAGAACTATCTTTTTGCCCCAAATTCGAATGCAAAATGATTAACTTAGAGAGAAACTAAAAATACTTTTGATAGAAAATCCTTGAAAATCAATTTCACAGACTTTTTCGCACCGCGAGATGTCGCCGAGCTTATTTTAATGACTGGGAGAATGGCCAACCTGACGAAAGCCGCTGACTGCAGTCGGGTATAAGATACCGCCGTGAACACTCGGAAAAACACGTGGTTGCCCGCGGATATCAGCTGATAATGCTTTGAACGGCGTAAAGTGCACGTGTCGTGTTGCAGTATCTGGCGCACGATGCGATCTCGCACGTCACTGGCCGAATTATCTAGTGATTGTGTAATATTGTCAAGACCCGAGAGCCCGATTATGTAAATTCGTCTTCAATAAGGCAACCCAAACGGACAGAGAACGCCAGTTGTACGAGAGTGGACGTGCATAGCTTGCTGGTTTTACATCAGTTGTACGTTACGCGCCAAAATACGTGTCTTGCATAATATTACTCCGAATCACATGGGCGAACGATATCGCGCCGGTTACGCATACAGTTGTCACGATGAGTCGCGAATGATCGAATAGCATTGTTTTATTGATAAATATTAATAAAAAAAGGATAATATTAGAATTTGAATTCAGTAAAAAAGAATACTATTTATGTACAACATCGCGCGCATGTTAACAAATTTATTTTCATTTAAAAGAGTTCGATTTGTTTTACTTAAAGAAGCTGGATGAATCAAAGGTATAAATATACGAATTTCTCTTACGATATTATAAATTTATATAATCACTCGTATAAATCACACGTGAATATCAAACGTGCAAATATGATATTTCTAACATTAAACCCGAATTTATATAACTAATATTAATCGATACAAATTGTCATCTTTGTTTTATATTATGATATTGAAAACTAACTTATAAATTTTATTTCATTTATACTAAAACGCTATCATTCAATGTATTTCTAAACTCAATAACAAATCAATATCTTGAAGTTATTTATCTATATTATATTGACTTTATCACTTTTTTTTAATCGCATAAAATATAATTAACAAAAAATTCGAAAGATTAAAAACAATTGTCTTATATATTTATATCTACACTGTTATCATACCGATATGATAACAAAAAAATACTTTGAGTGACGTGGAATGATTCGGATTATGCGCATCTCTCATTAGAATAATAATCAGATAATAATCTAATGCGTCTTTAAACGCATCATCTCATGCTAATGATATGATAAATAAATATAATTTTTTTCTGTTATGAAATAAACAAACGCGTATCTGCTATCACGCGTCACGCACCCATACACACACAAACATATGAGATTTCTCAGTAACAATTTCGTAAAATAAAGCTAAGAATCTAATTTTCACAACATCTAATTATCTCATTTTCGTAAAAATTGCTTCGATTATTTAAATTATTCGATTATTAAGTTTTCTGTATTCATAACAATCGGAAAAGATATGATTACAAGCGCTCATAAAATTAACTTAGAATTGCAATAGATAAATTTTATTTTATGAAGCGTTTTCTTCAATATTTATATCGATACTGGAAGTCTTCAACAAAATTACTTTTTGATCTTAATCAGCGAACTCGAATACGTTTGCCATAAACACAATGCAACGCAATGCAAAAACGTGTACAATATTTTAGTTAAACTAACAATTTTATACTGGCAGAATATATCGCGGATAATCGATATCGTTCGTCTATTTTCGATCAGATTGCTGCGCGAATTATAGCGTCGGACATTCAAGCAATTATATAATTGAAGAAAAAATTAAATTTTTAGACCTCGAGTCTTAGCGCTCTAAAATTCTGCACACGATAACGAAAGTCATAACTAAGCCGCTTTAATACTGGTAAGCAATTTTCATACAGATAAACAACTCCCATTAACTCATCACAGAAAGAATTAACTCACGCAGCAAATATCAAGCGAGAATGCAAGTGACTACATTTTGCGAGACGTGCAGTAAAGAAACGGTCTTCGCAAAAATAATGGATATATAAAACAGTCGATTGGAAAAAGAAGAGTCGAAGAGTCGAAAAAGTGCTCCTGTGTAGAAAAAGAGATCTCTTAATAAAAAGAAGAATGGCGAAACCCGTAATGGCTAATAGCGATACTAAAGATGAGGTAAGTCCATGTTGTTTTTGCTGATTTAATTTCCAAAATAAAAGTTTAGTCCAATCCCGTTAAAACATACAACGATATGATCGATATGAACGATATAAGCAATTAATATAACACGGTGAGCTAAAAAGTTCAATTAAATACAGTGTCTCGAGGAAAATATGATATGTGATTGCGAAAAAGACTAGATAGCTACTGAATCAGGTTTGTAATTGAAGGAGAAAGGCTATTATATCAGATGAAAAGCAGCTGCTTTCAAGTAACGATCCATGATGTATGTTTAGCACTCATGATATCGTAAATATCGAGCCTTTTAAGAATTCTATAATTTTATAATTGTTTTACGAAAATTTCATAGAATTAAAATTCTCAAACTTCTACATTATTAGTTATATTATCGAGAATGTTGCATACATATTGCGATCATTTATATATTTTTCCATTGTTGATTTTTAAGTAGAATAAATAAAGTAATATTCACAAAAAAATTATAGCTTTCTTTAATGATAACTAGAGAGTTAGCAGATATTTTCTCTCAAATATACTTGTTCTTATTTTGATCGTCTCATAAGCTTATAAAATCATTTATACTAAGAATGTTAGTAGCGTTTCCTGTCTACTTGTAAACGGGGGATTCGATAGCTGCAAGATCGAAAGGTTAAAACCAGTTATCGCGGCAACGATATTGAAACGAAAGCTAAACGGAAACAAAGGGCTGATATATTCTGCGTATACAATAATTCTTATCTTAGTGCATGTTTATGCACTATATGCATGCTATAGAATGTTTTAAAATGTAATTTATATGTGAAAACTAACTTAGCTAGATAATTATAATTATTCAATACAATAAATATAATTATCGAAAAAATTAAAGATAATATTTGTTTAGATGACTGTAGCACTCCATAGACTATAAATATTACGGCTTAAATTTTAAATCGTCAATTATACTTTCGTAATTATATTCACTATTTAAATTTCAGCAAAAACAGCTTCCGTATACACAAGTTTCCTATAAATCTTTTTATAATTTTATATTTGCTACAAATGCCGAAAGAATAAATCAACGATTTTTTACTTTGTCCGATTATATTTTAATATCCATTTTATAATTTTTTAGGCGGTACCACGGGTGGAATCTACTCACAGAAACAGAGAATGCAGAAAATTCTTTGGATGGATAAAATATACATCAGTAGAGCCGACAATGTGGCTCTACATGATGGCGTTCATGTTTACATCGGTCGTCGAGCAAGACTTTTTCAAGCATAAAGCATGCCGGGTGGATCACGGATATTCGGAAGAAATCTGCTCGAAGTTGAACGATGATAAAAACAAAGCGATAAAGACCGAAGTGCAGGTAAAAATTATTATGTACTATATCTAAAAAAAGAAGAAAGAGAAAACGGAAAAGGTCATTGTTAAAGTATCAGAACAATAGTAATAACGACTTGTGAGATTGTCGGATTCGACTATAAATGGCAAATCATGTACAAATATTCAACTTGGTAATTGCCTTGATAACTTGCAATATTTCTACATGTAAATGTGTGTGATTATCTTATCTGTTTATTGGTCGAAGATAAACGGCAGATGAAAACGGAATTTCTATTGAGATAATTATTAAGTTAAATATTTGTACAAGATAAACACATCGTATGTAGAACGTATTTTAATAAATCTAATAAGTATTCTCGAGAAAAAGAGAGCACATATTCCTTCGCATATTTTTGTTAAGTCCTTTGTTTTACTAAAACTTATTCATTAACAGCAGAAAATTAAATAAAATGCACACACAAGAATGAAATCTAATCGTAATAAAATTAATGATAAGATTACTGGATGTCTCTAATTGCTTATGAAACTGAATGCGCAAGCAATCTTTCTGCGTATTCTGCTTATACTTGTATTTTTCGAATTCTCTCCTTCTACGTCGCAAACTAAGAATGTGTCTCTCATAACTCAGCACTTCCACTATCGAATTAATAATAGACTATCACTCCTCAATTATAGTCTATTAAAAAAAATTATCTTGCAGATAACTGTCTCGGAATTTCATCAATGGAACGACATCGCCGGGCACGTGATGCCTATTATTTTGGCAATGTTCTACGGGAACTGGAGCGATCGGCGCGGACGCAAATTGCCGCTCGTCCTCGGCTTGATCGGCAAATTTATCTACTCTTTCATGGTCGTGATCAATTCCATGATGGATACTTGGAAGCTGAACATGGTGGTGTACACGGCCACCCTACCGATGAGTTTGCTGGGCGGGGATGTTGCAATCTTCGGCAGCTGCTTCGCATATATATCGGACGTATCCTCCATGCAACAGAGAACCCTGAGGATTACGATTCTAGATGTTATTTATCTCAGCACGATGCCATCGGGTGAGGACAAGTTCGCTCTTGAAAAAATTATCCGCTCGGAGAAAGTATAATTATGTCTACGTCTCTTTAAAAAAAGACTTTGCAAAGGATGCAAATTTTTAATGCATCCTTTGGATTCTCACATTATTTGCATAAGAACTGCACGTTTACTGTGAAATTTTTCTTTTTGTATCTCGACGTTTATTAACGCTATTAGACGTATCTTCTGTGAAACAAAGAATCCTGAAGATTACGATCCTGCATGTCGTTCATCTTTGCACGACATCGTCAGGTGAACCCCAGTTCGCTCTTGAAAAAAATTATCCGTTCGGAGAAAGTATAATTATGTCTACGTCTCCTTAAAAACACTTCGCAAAAGATGCAAATTTGTAATGCATCTTTTGGATTCTCACATTGTTTGGATAAGAACTGCACGTTTACTATGAAATTTTTCTTCTTTTATATCGACGTTTATTAACGCTATTGGATGTATCTTCCGTGTAACAGAGAATCCCGAAGATTACGATTCTGAACGTCGTTTATTTCTGCACGATATCGTCGGATGAAGTCCAGTTCATTCTTCAAAAAGATTATCCACTCGGAGAAAGTATAATTCTATTTACGTCTCCTTAAAAAAACTTCACATAGGATGCAAATCTTTAACACATCCTCTGGATTCTTACATTGTTTAGATAAGAGCTGCATATTTACTATGAAATTTTCCTCGCTTCATTTCGACGTTTATTAACACTGATCATTCATTCTTGCTCATTTTACGAGTATGTTCACAAATATATAAAATATATATATTTATTAAATTATTTAATTTAATAATTGCAGATGAATAATGAGTTCTATTTTTTCTCTTTTGCAGGTATCGCGCTTGGATCTTATGTGTTCAGTCATTTAGTCAATTCATCCTATACGATTATGTTCATCGTAAACGCCATGTTGCTTGCATTGGCGATTATATATTCGCTCGTGTGGCTTAAATGGCAAACGTCACCACGTCAGCAACCGTTGTCCGGCACCAATTTGCTGGTGGACTTTTTCGATACGAGACACGTCGCCACGACGATGCGAACGTTGTTGAAGTCGAGGCTCAATCACGGCAAACTCCACCTGTGGTTTCTTCTGCTCGCAATGTGCCTCTATACATTCCAAAGAGACGAGAAACCCAAGAGTCAGATGTATACTTCATTAATCTTCAAATGGGACGTGACAGACTTCAGTAACTTCAAAACATTCCAATCGACTCTCTTCGTGTTAGGTCAGTTGAGCGTGATGTGTCGAACTGAATTCTCGACATTTCGTGAATCCTCTCATCGCAATGCATAATTCGCGATGTATTTTATTGAGAGACGCGCGCAAGTGAAAGGAGAAATTTCTTATAGAAATCGACAACTTTCGCTTTCACCATAATTACAATCTTGATTTAATAATAATAAAAAAAGTTACAACCTTATCGCGTGAAAAATTGAAGCTATTCAATTTCTTAAAAAAGTATTTTATCCCTTCGTGTTTCTAATAATATTTATATATTATTTACATATTGAAAATAACTGTGTTCCAACAGCAATGCTCATCGGGGTGCCTATAATGAGTAAATTGATAGGAATGAGGGACACATTCATCGTAGTAATTGGAGCAATAGCGCATGCAGCCGGAAGAATAGTATTTATATTAGCAAATCGACCGGAACTATTTTACGTAGGTAAATAACAATTTTTTCTTTTTAAAAATATTAAAATCTCTAATTATCTCCAAATATAAAATATTATTGCACTCATTATGTGAATCAAGTAATACTGATGATATATATATATATAAATGATAATATACATATCGTACATATTAGAAATAATTAGAAATTTATTTATGATAATAATCGTTTTGCAGGTGCTGCTGTTGCTGCGTTAGGTCCCGTAGTAGCACCTGTACTCAGATCCATGACTTCCAAACTTGTATCCATAGAAGAGCGAGGTACGCGTAAGAATATTTGTCGCGCTTAATTTTTTACATGTAGTTTGAAACCGATTTCCTGAGAGATTAATACAATTATATTTTCAATCTTTGATATCTGAAATGTGAAAAAATGCCTTGCGTCGGTTTTTTCACAAATAAAAAATAGAAATATTATCCTAGAAATACAAATCTGTCAAATATCGGTTTCAATTCGACGTCGCCATATCTAGGTATTTTTCTTTCCTGTGGCGCGACAAAAAAAATAATTGTCTCATGCTAATTCTTAGGAAAAATATTCGCGATGCTCTCCGTATGCGATAATGCGGTCCCGCTCTTCAGCGGCACTTTGTACTCTCAATTGTACAACGCCACGATAAAGACTGCACCGAGCTCATTTTATTGGTTGACGTTCGCCACGCAGATTACCGTGCTTCTGCTTATCTTGTAAGTGAATTCTCTAATTTTCCTAAACGCTTGAGATATCATCTCTCAATTAAAAAATCTCTTCTTAATTAAAAAATTAAAAAACTAATTAAACAACTAATTAAACAACTAATTTAAAAATTTAAAAACCGCATTGTATTTCAGCCCATCGCATCCAAATAATCTAATTTTAACGAGCTATTATTTTTTCAGGCTCATACAATTTACATCTTGGTCTAAACACGCGACCGAACAACAGGATTACATCGATGACGAATCTGTGGCTCCATCGCTACCGAATACTTCAGAAGCTAACTCTTCCAGTAATGTAACCGCGTGACGATAACTGAATCTCGAACTGCTCAGAGAGAACGTACAATAAGATATATCTGAAACTGCCATATATAAGTAACGCATCAAAAATCATAACTTGTTAGCACTGACATTTCATCTGATCATCTTAAGAAATATGTACAAGATGCATTTACTAGATTCAGAATTTGTTTTTTTTTTTTTTTTTTTTTTTTTTATTTTTCTAAAATATTTTTTTCGTAAAATTAAAGTTTAAATTGTAATATTCCAAGTGTCTCGCAAATTTTATAATTCTTTGGTTTGTGTGAGCAAATAACAAGTAATATTTTTAGCAAATTCAATCACATTTTACTGACTAACAAGTACTTAAAACTATACTATAAGATACTTAAAACTATACTATAAGCTTTAAGTTGCATTCATCGCATCAGAAAATTTGAAATATGCAAATAATATGTTAATCGTGAAAATACACTTTAGAAAATTATCTTTTTTTTTTAATATGCTCAAATACGTTTATCGACATGTCTCTACATATCGTTATATTTCAGAGAAAATAATATCAAATTTCAGATCTTACAAGCCTTGTAATAAGGCTGTATTTTTAGAATAGCTTAATTACATATTAATCCGCTCGTATGTGGTAAAATGTTATTATAAGTAGAATATTTCGATAAAATATAAACTACACACATAAACATAGAAAATAACGCGCAAAATGAAAATATCTCTTTATATTTTTTTACGAGAGAAAAATATTAGAGTATATATTTTATGTGTATGTTGTGTATATATATATATTTTTTTTATGTATATGTACAACTTATAAAATAATGTTGCTGTATAATAATGTTATATTTAAAGTAATTCTGAATGTAAAAATTTGATTGTGTTAAACGTTTTACTTTGCAGATTCTTGTTTGAAATCTCATAAACTGAGATTTTCTAAACTCTATGTAATTGCATCAATATAATTTATATGAATTCACATCGTTACTAATATAATAGTATTATTTTATTAAATTTCTAAAATTAGATTTTATTAGACATATATATTATCTAATAATATATTAGTAATATATATTATTAGATTTTTATTATATTTTCTGCGTTTATAAAACAAATTTCTATTACTATAAATGTTGAGTAAACGATGAAAAATTATATTTTCTATATTGTTGATTTTTCGCTCATCGAAAATAAAAAAGAAAATTGTATGCAGACTTCATTATCTAATAAGATTAATCACAACTTCCTTTTTATCCTTAAATACTTTCATCCTTAAAGCCATTTTACTCATAATTAGATGAATCATGAAATGAGATCGCGATTAAAAATTACGTAATAACAATTCATTAACATAGTGATGACGCAAATATACGCGAATAAAAAGCATTAGCAAGATCAATCTTGCTGTTTAAGGTCAAAGTCGACATAGTTGGAAAAAAACAGCACTAAGATTTTTTTTTAATGTAGTGCTTCTTACATATACAAGATATCCTAATACTTATTTTCAAATTTTCCAATTTCAAATATTATGCGATGAAAATGAAAGCAATATTCTCCAATCAATAAACTAATTAATTTGTTATCATTGATTTGTCGCAATCTTTTTGATATCGAGACAAAATATTTTGTCAACTAAATAAATTTATATTAAATTCCTGCTAAGTTAAAGTTCTCTCATTTATAATTATTTAAGAGCGATTATCGATTTACAATTCAATTTTGACATATATTGTTGTATTTATCTTTCCTTGAAACTCTCAAAATGTTTGCTAAAATGAAATTATCTTCGTCACGAAGTTTATTGTTAATACAAACAGCAGTAAAACGGGATTTGTTTTCAAAGTTGCGGTTCACATTTACACTATGTTTAAGAAGATTCTAGGAAACCCGTCATATTCATTAGCATTCAACACGTGCAAACAGCAAGCATGTCAAGGATGATTGGGTAATTGTTGCTTAGCATTTTCGGTACATATAGTATTGTCCTCCAGGAACTAATTTCTAAAAAAATACAGTTCTAATCATTAAATATAAAAAAATATCCACCGAATAATCATTAAGCTTCCTCTTGCGCTCGTCTATCAATATCTTAGTTATATGCATCTTATGTCATAACATGAAAAATAAGCGACATAAAAAGTGCGACATGTTTATACACAGCAACTTTCTCGAGTTTCACAACTATAAGCGATACAAAATCGATTCTTTATTTAGGTCACCCGCAAAAATTATTTAGCGTGCTATTAATCGTATTTAAATTAAATCGTAAGAGAAATATATATTATTAATAATATATTTAATTACGTAATTAATATATATATTTAATTAATCTAACGTCATAGAAATGTAGATTGACGTCTTCCTTTCACGATCTATTTACTAACGTAAATCAATGTATATATGTGTAATGAATGCTATGAATACTGTATGCAGAACCGTATGAATGAAAACGAACATCTGGTCCCTTGAACTTCCTTGGATATGCGCGATATACGGGCAATATCACTTCCCACGTATCCTGACCCAAATATCCACCTCTCATGACCCACCGGTATAAAAAGTCTGCTAACGTTTCAAGATGCGTACTGTTTGCCTCAAGCATCGCTTCGTCAAAGAACATCGAGCTCTCCGATATCATGGTAACAATATATACGGAGAATATTAGCAATTACACGATAAGCTACGTCTTTTATCGATAAAACTTTGCGAAAAATAAGCAAAAAGATATAAATAATATGATTTATACAAGACTCGAATTCTTTGTTAAAAGTCAAAGCATTTTTCTTTGTTAATCTCACGTATTTAAAATATTGATAAAATATATATAAAAACAAAAAAACTTTATTTCATTAAACTTAGGTATATATGTATATATATCACATGTGCAAAATATATTATTAAATTTAGGTTTTAATAAAGAGAGTAACACGCAAAATGTTAAAAAATTTTAAATATAACAAAATTTTTTTAAATTAATTTTTCAAACAAAAAAAAAACATAATACGTGTTATAGTATATCTAGTATAGCTTTCAAATTATAATTAGTAGTTTTCCTCTCGATTTCTTGATCTATTGATTCTATTAATATCGAAATTGCGGATTTTACGCGCGAACACGAAAAATCACAGTGTTGTGGCGATCGTATAACAGCAAGAATAATAAAGTCAGAGGATACATTATTTAAATTGCTAACTCCATTGTTGATTATTCGCTTCCGTCGAACTAACTTGCGAATTAAATAAGATCTCTCGATTTTCTCTTTCCGGGTACGCGGTTGATTCCAACTTAAATTGCACACCGACGATTTCTGCATTCGAAAACGAGCAGCTGATTCTACATTTTTGCCACGAAGACTTATCGACTTCTATCTAACTATCGGTGATCGGACTAGGCAAAAAAGAGCTCAATTGTATATCTTGTTATTTTTAATCGAATTATTTCGCATTCTCGCGCGAAAATGTAGCCTTTAATAATAGTGTGCCTTGTAACCTTTAATAACATTGCATAATAATCGTGATTTATGGTTGACGCAGTATGCAACGATCATTTTTCCTCGAATGTATTTGTCTTTTAATCGGCAAGAAAATAAAATTACCTTAATCTCTTTAATGACGTCTATTTAAATGGAAAGTGATTAACGTTATAAAATTACTCAAAAAACAAATACGAAATAAAATTATATGTGATCGATTTCCTTTGTTTCACAATTTGCTCCCAAATGTCAAACACACACATTTATATTTATATTGCACACGAAATATTTTGAACGAAAACGGATCTATCATTATATATGACGTGACATCACATGTGAGCGATAAATTTTGCTTCACGATCCAAATGCCATACACACACACGTTTATATTTATACTGCAGGTGAACTATTTTGATGAACAGATCTATCATCTCGAGTGAAGAACTTTCGACCCATGATTATAATTAATGATCGTGGATTTGCAGTGACAGTCCATAAATTTGCAATAAATCTTCACTCAATCACGATTGCGATGCAATTTTATTGAAAGCGGTGGCGCATATTGCATTTATATTATTTGACTTATTTATTTCTTGAACTAACACAGTTTGCATAGTTAGAATAGTCCCAGAGAAAGTAATGTAATCTACGGCACTCTTTTTATATCGGTGTGAGTAGCAATTTAGACAATCCGCAAAACTGGTAAAAGTTCACCACATTAAGATATCTGGAGGAAAACGAATTTTTGCGCCGACATTTAAACACGCAATGAAACGAAGTATGAAAGCCGCGTCGAAAAAAATACTATCTTAATCATGCTTCAATCAATAAAAAAAAAACAGGCAAAACTAGTCGGACTAGATCGCACTTCCGACTAAATTGTCGCAAAATAATCAAATGCCCAAATAGCATAGTTACAAAAATAAAAAAGAAAAAAAAAACAATTATTCTTCAGCATCCTGATACATAAAAAATTCTGCAGATAAGAAACGATCGATATATTGCGTCCATTATAAACGCGCATTGCCAACGACTATTAATATTATTAATTTAAAAATAAATATTTAAAAAACATACCGTGTTTTTAATCATAGATTAAATAGTCAGTTTTTTCTCTCTTTTTGCGAAAAGTTTCAAAGCGCCATTAAAAGTCATGTATTATATTTCATCATAAATGTTGTATCCTCGCTTTCAGGTTTCGTTGAGGAAAATCGTTATCCTTGTTACGACAGGTTTAATGACTCTCGCGGTATTCGTGGACGCGATACCAACTCCCGGCCCAGTCGCATCCGGAGCCATTACCGTTTATCCGATACCTCAAAGGCCGGCGTATGCACCGAACCCATGGGTCTATCCGAAACCCACTACGGAACAACCTATAGGACGATAAATAACGAACCTGAACTCATCGCATACACACAAGCATTCTCTCGAACTGTCCGTTGCATGGAAAACGGAAACAATTTTTTTTCGACTTGTAAATATATTAATTTACATCTATCCATTGCGCGATGGCATAGCAAGTAAATGATTATTTTGTGTAATGATCATTTTTTTTCTTTTATTTATCTCAACCGCCAGTTACAAACCCACAATTAACATCGATTAATTGTCGTCGCAACTCACGCAATTGTCCGCTGACGGTGAATATCCTCTCGAGACAAGTTTGTACTAACGTTTACATTTTGATTAATATTGCCGATATGAATAAGTAGGTTATGCTGATGTTATAAAGTTAGAGAAGTAAGCTTATTGTAACACGCATTTGCAATTGCATTGCTGTAAATTTTATCTAGTTATTTATTCATTCTCGCATGCAGATAAAAAGATAAATACTGTAAGAATAATATATAAAATACTTACAGATATAAAGATTAAATAAAATTATATGTTAAATCCAGAATATATTTTACTTATATATTATACTTATATTACTATATATTTAAATCGATGTAAATCTTTTATAATCCCTAAAAATTTATCTTTTCAAAAAAAAAAGGTAAAAAAAGGTGCCAAGTATATATAAAAAAAAAGTGTTACACACAAAGCTATTTTATTTTTAAATTACTATAAAAAAGTACTTTACAAAAGGTCATTTTAACTCTATACGGAAAGCGAGAAGCGTGATATTCACGGACCTTTAAAAAGGAAATGGAAAATGAAAAGGGAAAAGAAAATCATCCAGTCCGAAGAAAACAAGAGGACGGAAACCTTTCGAAGAAAACAGGAATTGATTGTTTTCTAAAATGTATTATCTCGGATCAAGGACCAAGAAATCAAGGTTTGTTAAAAAAGCTATTAATTATTCCCGTGAAACCATATTTTGAAAAAAATGGACATAAAATATATATTATTTGCGATCCGCCTCATTTAATTAAATCAATGAGAAATAATGTCAGAACGAAAAAGTTATTATACAAAAATGGTGTAGTTGATTGGCAAGAAATTGAGAAAGTATATAAACTTAGCCAAGAAAATCCTTTAAATTTAATACCGATGATTTCTAATAAACATTTTAATCTAACACACTTTTCGAAAATGAAAGTTAGCTTAGCAACACAAATTTTTTTCAGAATCTATGTATACTGCATACTTAGTATATAAAACTATGTTCTCAGAATATTTTCGCAAAGACAATGACACAACCTTACAATTTATTATATACATAAATAAACTATTTGATACTCTAAATTCTCCTTTAAAGAAAAGAACAGTGCCTAACAAATTAAATTACGCTATTACAAAAGACACAGAACACACAGAATTTTTACAAAATATTTTAGAAGCTTTAGAAAAAAGTAGATTTGAAATTGGGCCACAACCAGCTTGTAGAATTGTCAACCCATCCCCAAAACAATTTCAAGCTGGCTTACGACATATTTTCCTTACACAATTATCAAAAGTATCAAATCATAGTAACTGTGAAACAGATAAAAATTATATTTTTACAAAATTGAGTCAACTCAAACACACAATGCAATCTAATAAACAAAACCAAAGAACAAATAATGAACAAACTTCATCGACTTTAACATTAACAAATATAAATCTCGAAGAATTAAATGAATCTCAATGTATAGACTCTGAAACCAAACAATCCACAGAATCGAATGCTATTTATTATATATGTGGATTTCTGGCGAAAAAGTTTCTTGCCAATCATACATGCACTATATGTGAAGAATTATTAGTTTCTATAATAATAATTCAGAATATGGAGAGCACAAATTATTTACGTTAATGAAAACATATGTAGACAGTAGTTTAGTTTATGTTGCAGAAAATATATTTCAAATTATTATGATTTGGGAAAAACAATTTAAATGCATAATTCAAAATATCATTCATAAAAAAAATTAGGAAAATTAATAACAGACATTTTAACACATAACTATCCAATTGTCCAATTATGCTGTCCAGAATCTTCAAATTCTTTCTTATATATGTTTATAAAAATAAGATGTCATTGGGAAGCACGTATGATGAGACGAAATATTGCAATGAAAACAAATAAAAATAATTCCGCAAAGATGAGAAAATTTATGTAGTTATGTTTATTATGTAACACATTTCATTTTGATCAAAAAGTCACATTGATTGCTCTTGTTAATGCAAACTTAAACTGTAAAAATGAGTGCATCCATCAATACGAATTCAGATATCGCGCAATATCGGGAATGGGAGATATACAGGGTATCCCATTTTAAAAGTTCCACGCGAATATCTCGAAAAGGAGCTTTTCAAAAAAATGTTTTAGACAAAAGTTGTATGATTCACAGGGGGACACATGATGAAAATATGGACTTGACCTTGAATGACATTTTCAAGGCCAAGTCAATGTGATCTATGTTTTCTTAAATGGAACACCCCATTTTTTATTGCATATTCTTGTAGCTTATCTCGAGAGCTTTTCAAAACACAATAATAAAGTATTTTTTCATTAAGTACTTTTTGGGTTTTTTATATTTTAATCTGACATATTTTGATATAAAAAATAAAATATCTCGTAAAATATTTAGTTTTCGATAATCTTACAGTAATACTTTTATGTTCAGAATAATGGGACAAATCAATTAGTGTAAAGAGAAAAACAAATAATTGTTTAAAAAAATACATTGTAAATAATTACATACGTTTTTTTTAAAACAATTATTTTTTTTTACTGATTGATTTGTCTCATTATTCTGTACATAAAAGTATTACGGTAAGATTATCGAAA